AATTTCGAGCACCCAGACAAGTGTCGACAGAGTGTCGAAACAGTGTCAAAACAGTGTCGGGCGAGTGTCTCCCAGGGCCCGATCGTGAAAACCCTCGAACTTCGGTATTTTGTTTGCTGGTGCTCGAAATTCTTTCTGGCGATCAAGAAGTAGGTTGGAACATCATAACCCGAGTCGTTGATTGGCGGCCCTGTGGCCCGGCGCGGGCCCCCCCGGGGCCGAAAGCAGCGAGCACCTCCCGTCCTGGCTTTTGTGGAACGACGCGAGCATCTGTGGGTCATGGCCCCCGCCATGATGTCCCCCCCCCACGTCGTCACTCCCCTCGTGGCCGCCCCCAAGGGGGAGGGGCACAGACCTAACATCTCCTAGGCTCCCAGGGGAAAGAAGCGCCGGGCGGGGCACGAAGGAGCCCCCCCGGCCACGGCGAGCCTCGACCACGGTCCTCGGCCTGCCCACAGAGAGCGACTCATGGGTAAGCGCGGCCTATGATGCCTCATCCTCCTCCTCCTCCTCCTCCTCCTCCTCCTCCTCCTCCACCCTCCTTCCGCCTCCTCCTCCTCCTTCCGCCTCCCTCCTTCCTCCTCCCTCCTCCTCCTCCCTCCTCCCTCCTCCCTCCTCCTCTCTCCTCGTCCCTCCTCCTCCTCCTACTCCATCCTTCTCCTCCCTCCTCCACCTCCTCCCTCGTCCGCTTCCTCCTCCTCCTCCTCCTCCTCCTCCTCCTCCTCCTCCTCCTCCTCCTCTCTCCTCCTCCTCCTCCTCCTCCTCCTCCTCCTCCTCCTCCTCCTCCTCCTCCTCCTCATGCTGCTACTGCTCCTGCTACTGCTCCTCTTCCTCCTCCTCCTCCTCCTCCTCCTCCTCCTGCAGGCAGCGGGGGGACCAAACTTTTTGCGTCGGCGGCTAGGCAGGGGTCGTCTGCGCTGGCGGAAGAAGCCAACTGAGCGGGGGCACCGTTGAAGCGAGTTGGCCATCATGCAAGATGAGGGGAGGAGGGACGAGCGGGCGGCCGCGGGGCGGGGGCGGAGGGACCAAGCACGAGCGCGCAAGAGGCTACTACCACATAGCGTTCGGCTTTCGGGGGAACCCACTGGGCCCGCACCAAAAGGTGAGAATGTCCTTTGGTGCGCGTCCTCTGGGCGGCCGCGGGGGGACGGGCGCGCAAGACGCTACTGCCGCATCGCGTTCGGCTTCGGGGGACCCCAGTGGGCCCGCACCAGAGGCAAAGGTCATTCGTACGTGCAGTCGGGAGCAAACCCCCCCGACCATTCTCTGAGCCGAGGACCGGCCCCGAAGGCGGCGGCACCCCGGGTGGAGTGTGCCAGCGGGCTATCGTGGCCGAGGCGCCGCAGAGTGCCGGCAGCACAGGGACGCGACGGGGGCAGCGGTGCCCCACCCCTTGCCGTCCCTCGGACGCTCGTTCCCCGTGCACGTGTTTTGCTTCGTGCGTTTTTCTTCGTTGCCGCAAAATGATCCAAGACCCAAACATGCGACGTCCTGATTGTTTCAATGCGGGGTTCCTGGAAGTCCCGACCCTTTCCCGGGACCGGCTCGTCGCCCTGAGCTGTTGTTTGCTGGTCCCAAAGCCCGGCGAGGGCCCCCCGAGGCCGAAAATGGCCACAAACCTCCCGTTCTGATTTTTTCAAGACGCGAGCAGGTCTGGGGAGGCACCCCGAGGGGTCCTCGCAGAGGAATGCACACACGTCCGAGCGATGCCGCGACGCTTCCCCGCCCTGCCCTGCCCACGCAGCGTGCGGGCGCCGCGCCACGCCCGGTGCAGAACCCCTTGCTCCGCGGCCGCCCGACTCTCGCCTCTCTCTCTTTCTCCTCCCCCTCATCCTCCTCCTCTTCTTCTTCTTCTTCTTATTGTTATTCTTCATATTATGATTTGTGCTTTTGTTATTGGTATTGCAATTCATATTGCTATTGTTATGCTTATTCGTATTATTCTTCTTAGTAGTGTAAGTAGTATTAGTATTAGTTGTCTTATTATTATCATCATTGTTATGATTATTATTATTATTCCTCCTCCTCCTCCGCCCTCCTGCTCCTCCTCCTCCTCTTCCTCCTCCTCCTCCTCCTCCTCCTCCTCTTCCTCCTCCAACTCAGCCCTCCTCCCTCCTCCCTCCTCCTCCCTCTCCTCCTCCCTCCTCCCTCCTCCTCCCCCTCCTCCCTTCTCCTCCTCCTCCTCCTCCTCCTCCTCCTCCTCCACCCTCCTCCTCCTCCTCCTCCTCCTCCTCCTCCTCTCCTCCTCCTCCTCCTCCTCCCCTTCCTCCTCCGTCTTTCCTCCTCCTCCTCCTCCTCCTCCTCTTCCTCCTCCTCCCTCCCTCCTCCCTCCCCTCCTCCCTCCTCCTCCTCCCTCCTCCTCCTCCTCCTCCTCCTCCTCCTCCTGCTCCTCCTGCTCCTCCTGCTCCAACTGCTCCTCCTCTCCTCCTCCTCCTCCTCCCTCCTCCTCCTCTCCTCCTCCCTCCTCCCTCCTCCCTCCTCATCCCTCCTCCTCCTCCTCCTCCTCCTCCTCCTCCTCCCTCCTCCTCCTCCCTCCTCCTCCTCCGCCTCCTCCTCCTCCGCCTCCTCCTCCTCCTCCTCCTCCTCCTCCTCCTCCTTCTCCTCCTCCTCCTCCTCCTCCTCCTCCTCCTCCTCCGTCTCTCGCCCCTCGCCTCCCTGGCGCGGGCGCGCAAGGAAACGCAAGACCCGTCCAGGCCTGCCCGCGGGGAGCGCTCGCCCGCGCCGCTCCAAAAACGGTGCGCTCGGGCGCTGCTTGATGGAAGGGCGGTTTAACGGGGGGCTTGTAGAAGGAGAAACAACGTCATAAACACAAACTGTTGGCGCTCCGCGCGGATTTCTTGGATCCGCGCTGGACCCTCCCCCCCTCCCTGGCGTGCGGAGCGCGCCAGTGGCGGCGCAGGAGGCGCCGCCAGGGGGCCCCAGCGCCGATCCGAGAAATCCGCGAGGAACTCCGAGTTTTCATGTTCATGTCATTGTTCGTTCCCCTAGCAACGGGGGGCTGAAGGAAGGTGCACCGTTCGTGCGCCTTCGGGGTCCCAGTCGAGAAGCATTTTGTTCAACATGGACGACCTCGAACAACGTCCACGTCAGGGACGGGTCGCTGAGGTGCGCCAGCCGTTCAAAGAGTGATCAGGCCGAGGATGCTAGCGGCTGTCATGGACGAGGCGCTGCAGAGCGCTGGCGGCAGAGGGATACAACGAGGGCAGCCAGGGACCCGCGTCATCTCCTGGAGTCGTTGTCCTCCGGCACAAAGGGCGAACAGCCCCGAGGAGACCGAACACGGCGAACAACCTCAGGACACCGACACGTTTCCCTCTGGAGCCGCTTGGCCCATGGCGATCCAGGCTCCTGGCAGGAAGCTGCAATCACAGGTGGCCAGCGTTCCGAGCACGCGCGGCCGCATCGCTTCATGGATGCGCGGAAGGAGGGCGCGCCCAGACTCGCTACCTACCAATCCACCACAACCCAACCCGATGTCACCGCTGGGCTCGTCGATGTTCGGTAGGGGGGCGTTTGAGGACATTGGAGGAAGCACGACGGAACGCGTACGCCCCCAAACCCTACATTTTGGCTGGTCCAGGGCCTTCGGTTTGGGCGGGGATGGTTTGGGACCTCATGACGGGCACCCAAGGGCAAAGGTGCTGGGAGAGCTAGCGTTAGGTCGGGCCCGGCCCCCCTACAGGCGGCTGTTGGGGCAAAACATAATACATATTCAAACACTGCCCCGGAATGGTCAACAAATGCACAAACAATCGTCCACCCCCCAAATGTTTTTTGTTTTGATAATATATATGTATACATATGTATATATATATATAAATATGTGTGCGTATATATATATATACATATATATACATATATATATATATATATACATATATATCTATACATATATATATGTGTGTATGTGTATATATATATGTGTATATATCTATACATATACACAAATATAGATATATGAATATTCCTCCTGTAGAGGGACACGCCCGATGAAGAAAACCAGCGGCCACGCGTGCATACCGTTCTCGCGAGGCGCCGGGCACGCCGCGCCTGCTCCGCCCAAAGACCTCGCGCCCTCCCCGCGCGGCCGCGCGCGCCGCGGCCGCCGCGCCCCCCACCCCGCGGGGGGCGACGCGCGCAGCTCCGGCCGCGCGGAGCGAGGGGCACCGTGGCCCCGGCGCCCCCCGCGGGTGATCCATAGGACCGGGGATTCCCACGCGGGCACGAGCAACTCTCGCGGATCTCCGAGCCGGGGCAGGGGCAGAAGCAGCGCAGCAGCGGAGCAGGAGAGATACGGGTTCTGTGCGACCCCCAGCGGCCATGGAGGATGCATCTGGCGCCGCGACCGTTCCTGACAGTTTCGGAGCGCTCTGAAAGCCCTCTAGAACGCTCTAGAACGAGTTGACCCGATCCCGGGTCCGTCCGATGCGCGAGCTCGCGAATCCGCGCTCCAAGGAGACTCTCGAGCGACAAATCCGCACCTCGAGGATGCCCAACGAGAGGGCGGACGAGCGATCAAGACGTGGCAGCAGGTCGTGGAAGGCAACCGAAGCATCCGCCGCTCTCCGAGGGCCTCCCGACCGCAGACATCCGACGGACTCATTCTTCAATCCGCGGGCCCCCAGGGTCTCGATATTCCTCTGTGTAGGAACCAATATTGATGGCCACGAGGCCCGAGAAGCGGTCGGGCGGGGCTCGGACGAGGATCAATCCGTTCCGGAGCGTTTCAGAACGCTCTCAGAGCGTTCCAGCACGCTCTGAGAAGGTCGCGACGCCCGAAACATTCTCCAGAGCCGCTGGAGCTCAGAGATTGCCGAATCAACCTCAACCGATTACATCCTCGTCCTGGCTACGTCTGAGGCGTCTCACAAGGTCAAGCAAGCCATGCCAAAAAAGACCAGGACGGGGGCCTCGTTGGCGCGGGGAGGCACCTGGTTGTAGATGTCGTCCAGCTCGCTGCTGCTGCGGTGAGTGATGTCGGCGCAGCTGCATCTGTCGTGTTACGCGTGCCGCAGATCGGGCACCCCTTCTGTGCGCCATCTCGAGCCGCAGTTCCTGCCCACCGCTCTCCGGTCGGTCGGGGTCGGCGCAGTGGCGTCGTCGAAGGGGCCTGGGCGGCCGCCAGCGGCGCGTAGCTCGTCCACTCCGTCCTGGATGTCCCGTAACTGCGTCAATATCATGCTCGTGTCGACGTGACCCGTGAACATGTCTCTCGCGATGTCCTGAACGACGCGAGCGGTCTGCAGCCGTCCCGTCCGAGCTTCATCTGTTAGAAACGATGCGGGGTCCTGGTGGCTGGGCTGGTAGATGGAGAGTACGGTGCTCCTGTGCGATTCCGTGTCGTTGTTGTACTTGTCCTGGCATCGCACCATTTGGATCCTCTTTGGCGGGGTGACGTCGATTACCTCGTTGGCCATCTCTGGCGGTTGCCCCGGTGGCAACGCCAGCCTCAGCTCGTCGCCCTCACCCTTGATGGGAGGCACCCTGTTGATGACGAGGTCGCCCGTGATATGTTTGTGTGCCTGACGGCCTCCTTGTCGTCGTTGGTCAGGTGTTTCTCTCATGGCGATCGGAGCTTCCAGTCCTCGGAGAACTCACGCCATGTCTCACGCGCCGGAGGGCTGTGGTACAGTCGGGGCCTTGACCTAAGGAACCCTAAATAAGGAACGAGGCCCCTTTTTTCCATAAGTTAACCTTCGATTTCCTGTCGAAAACATAAGGAAAGCCTGAGACAAGCTGTGAAACACTTAAGGAACGCGGAGCCCCTACCCAACGAAAAGGGCTCCTTGTTCAGGGCCCCGACTGTAGCACGCTCGAACGGCGTCGTCGTCGGTGTAGGCTCTCCAAGCACATGCTAGCTTCATGGCGGGCGACGGCGGCGCTGGCAGTCCGTCGCCCAGGCTCGGCGGCTCCGACTTCTGCGCCGATGAATCGTCCATGGGGGCGGGGGAAGGGCTGGCCATCGCTTGGACGTCCATTTCCTGTGTTTTTTTTGGTTTCGTGCGTGGCTTTTTCGCCGAATGATCAAGGATGTTCCTCGATGGCCCTCGCCGAAGGAAAAAAAACGCACACGTCCGAGCGATGCCAAGAGGGGGCGCAAGCGTAGGGGGTGATCCTCGGGGTCATGCCGATCCGCTGCTGGGCGGCCACTGGGCGCGTCGTCCTCTGTGGCGCGCTCGTTGGGGCCGGTCTGGCGACGGGCACGCTGACGGTGATCGCAGTCCGCTGGCTGTGGCGGAGTGCCTGGGCCTTTCGTTCCTCGGGCTGCGAAGGCGGGTGGCCTCCGCTCGGTAGGGCCAATAGATCTCCATACGGGGCACAGGCTGTACAAACCAAGCATCAGGGCGAACTCGGCCAGGTTGGCCTCCTCGTCGCACGCGAGGTCCATGAGCTGGCTCATAGGAGTGTCGCAGCTCGTGGAGTTTCGTGTCCGCCTCAGTCTTGTGCTCGTCGGTGGGTATGTTGTAGTTGGTCATCTTGATCTCGAATATTGCCATAGATCCTGACCTTGGCAGGTGTTTGCCACGGGGCCGCGTGATTCATCTGTCTCGCAATGGGAGCGGGTTCCCTAGGCCGTCTGCTCTCCATGTCTATGTTGCCCGTGCTGTCGATGATCCAGGTCGCGGTGAAATTGCCGACGTCGTCTCTTGCGTCGTTTGCCACGTCCTTGCATCGTGTGACTGGTCTTGTACGTTATAGTTTTCCTCGTGCAGCTGGCCACGTAGGTGGGTTGCCCGCGCCCGATTCCGCCGTCATTTCTATTGGCTGCCCTGGTCCCAACGGTAGTATGTAGGATGCGCTATAGCGGTCCAAACTATTGATCTCGTAGTGGCTGCATTGGCTGAGCGGCACCTGGTCTGTGGCGTGATGTGGTGGACTGCGTCTGGGATTATGCATAGCCTTGGTGCCCATGGTTTCTACGACGTCCTTCGGGTAGATGCGGACGGTTCTGGCCGCTGAGGGTGTCAACAGGTTGTAGTCCGGCTCTGTGCCCAGATGTACAACGTCAACGCGAGGTGTTTCATCACGTTCGTTGTTGCTGCTGTGAACTGTTTGGCGCTCCTCTGCCTCGCCGGCTCTGCACTTGGTGGCCTGACTGATGTATGATATGTGGAGATGCTTGAGGTTGGTTCGCTCCTTCCCGTAGAGGCCCTTGAATGGATTGGCGGGTACCAACATGGGTGAAACCTGCTTAGCAAACTGCCTTGCCCTGCCCCATGATATGGTGATCGGGGGCTGCGTCCTGCCGTGTCCTTTGTGTTTGGTCTGTCCGTTTGTGGCGTCATTCTCGTCCTTGTACTTGATGACGCTCTGGTAGTGGGGCACCAGTGTTTGGGGTTTCAGCCAGTGCCAATCTGAGAGCATGCAATTGCCTGACATGCTGCTGCTCCTACTCCTCCGCCTCCTCCTCCTCCTCTTCCTCCTCCTCCTCCTCCTCGTCTTCCTCATCCTCGCCGTCTGTCGTGGTCGTTGTCGTCCTCATCGTCCTCATCGTCCTCCTCCTCCTCCTCCTCCTCCTCCTCCTCCTCCTCCTCCTCCTCCTCCTCCTATCTCCTCCTCGACCTCCTCCTCCCCCACTCTCCCTCCAATTCCTCCTCACTCTCTTCCTCTTCCTCCTCCTCATCCTCTTTCTCATCCCCCTTCCTCCTCCTCTCCTCCTCCTCCTGCTCCTCCTCCTCCTCCTCCTCCTCCTCCTCCTCCCTGGCCAGCTGCAGCAGAGACGCGACCCTACCCATCAGTCGGGATGCGGGCTAAGTTCACTCGCACCCCCGTTTACCGCAAATAGCGCTCGGCTCCCCAAGGGCCGACTCTCCATTGCTTCCGAGGGCCTCCCGAGGGATTCCGACGGCTCCGATAATCATTCAACAAAAAACCCTCCCAGAGCGGCCTGCGGAGGGCCTTTCGAGGGCCCCTCGAGGTGCCTTCGAGGGCGCCGCGACGGCTCCCCGACGGCTCCGAGGCCCCCTTTCGAAGGCCCCCGAGGCTCTCCGAAGCGAGCGCGCGCGCGCGCGCGCGTTCGGAGAGAGCCGCCCCCCCCGTGGGGCGCCGGTGGGGCCGCCTCCTCCCCGCGGGGGCGGGCTGCGGTCGCCGCCGCGCGTCGCCGGCGGGGTCCTCTGGCGCTTGCCGTCGCTCGGACGTCCATATTTCCCGTGTCTTGTGCGGCTTCGTGCGTGTTTTTTTTCCTCGATGGTCCAGGATTGCCAGCCTGGAACATATCCCTATCCCTATGCTGGGCATCTCTTCATCACGATGCCAATCTTAGGGATTCCCTTGTTTGTTGAGGGCGCATCCCTAAGATTGTCATCGCTTTTCGGCATGCCAGTCTTAGGGGTAGGGATATGTTCGAGGCTGGTAACAGGATGGTCCTCGATGGTCCTCGCCGGGAGAAAAAATGCACACGTCCGAGCGATGCCAAGGGGGGTCGGAGGATCACGGGCGCCGAGCGTCTCCGCACCTGCGCCCTCCGAGCTCCGGGGCGGGATCCCGCGGACACGCGGTCGCGCGGGAGCGCGCCGCGCGGCGCACCCGCGAAGAGATGCTCCGTGCCCGCGGGAGCGCGGCCCAGGGGCGCGGCCCGCGAGGCCGCGGACAGGGATGTGCTGAGCGTCGCGAGGGGAAGGCGGGGGGGGGGGGGGCGAAGGAGCGCACATGACAGCGGAAGGTGCGACCGAATGGAAGGGAGAAAAAGCATGCGGTCCAGAAGGGTCGAAGGCGCGACCACACGCTCGAAGAGGAACCCTCGGGCTCGTCATCCGGGAGGAGGGGGTCACCCGAGCCGCGACGGGCCAACAACCCAGGCAGCCAGGGAAACAACTTCTGCTCAGGAGAGGGGGGCGTAGAGGGGGGAAGGGGAGGGGGCGAGGTAGTAATCAGGAGGAGGACGAGGGGGAACTGGGGGAAACGAGGGAGGTGATCCGAGGAGAAAGGGGAGGAGAGGGGAAGACTGGGGAAATGATGTCCCGCAGTGCTCATAAGTATTGTTGGGGCTCATCCCGCCAGAGCCCCGAGGGGGAAAATGATGGCGATAATTGCAGCAGAGGAGGAGGGGGATGGCGGGACAGTAATCAGAGGAGGGAGCGAGGGGGGGTGGAAGGGAGAAGGGGGGGGGATAACGACTGGACAGGAGGAGAAGAGGAGGGGGGAGCAGGTGGCAATCAGGGGAAAGGGACGACACAGAGGGCGTGGAAAGGGGGGGGGAGGTAGAGGGGAGGAAGGAGGACGGGAAGGGGCGGGACAATCCGAGAGCTACGATGCTACATGGCACAATTGCGCTATGGCCGCACACCTTTCTGAAGGATTCTGCAGCAACGCATGCACTGCGTCTGGTTGCTGCCTGCCACAGAGAAACAGATCACGCCTCAGCGTGCAAACATTATGTCCACTGCAGACGAAGACTGCCCATCGGCCGCAACGGACACACCAAACGAATGGTATGAGAACGTGGAAGAGGTACATGAAACACATCTGGTCTGAGCGAGACATGTTCAAAAAACATCTCGCGCAAACCACAAAAGGTTATTATCACACGATTTGGTGGGCCCATCGGCAGGTCAGAAAGCTTCGCCATTGCTTTCTGTATCGAGGCAACAATCCTGGCAAGGCCCATCACATGGGCCCAAGAAGGCTGCACACACATACTCACACGCACACATGCGCACATGTACACTGCGTGCTCTTTCGAACCCATACTCACGTGCACCGAAGAGGGGGGCCAGTCAGAGATGGAACTTAGCGCATCATGGCCTGATGTATGTGTGCAAACGGGGGAGGGGGCAGGAGACGAGTTGGAAGATGGTGATGGTGCTGATGCTGCCGATGATGATGATGATGATGATGATGATGATGATGATGATGACGACGATGCTGATGACGCCGATGATGAAGCACCCCCCAGTGCTTGTTTTCAGGGAGCAGGAACGCTCAGCTGGGAAACATTTTTCTTCTCACGACTGATGCGAAGAACTCACATGCAAAGGTCCACGGGACTTGTTCGTCCTGGGAGCGATTAGTGTTGAATCGAGTCAACAACCCTTGCTGGTCCCACATGTTCACTTTGCCACCAACTGCTCGCAACGTAACTTTACACTGATCAACTTTCGGCCATGACATCTGGGAGATCTTACGGCTCTTGCCGCAAACTATGATATTTTGGCGCCTAGAGGCATCCCACATGGAGTCCGAGTGGACGAGGTCGGAAGAATGCGCCGCATCGCTGATGCATCGCCATGCATCAACGACATCGACGGTGCATCGGCGACGCTATCAAGAGAAACTCGGGCTCTACATCGAGCCGCATCGGCGATGCACCGGCGATGCGGCGCGATCCTCCGACTCCATCCATAGACAAGCGCGTTCCGCTTCTCGCACAGTCACTACTCGCAAATGGCCTGGATCCGCCATGGGAGATTTACGAAACATTACATCGATGCAGGCGTGTGTTACTTTTTGACATTTGCGAGTAGGCACTTTGCGAGTAGTAGAACACGCTCAATGAATCTACTCAAACCCCACTCGGGAGGCGTGGAAGTATCCACGTAACCGTGGCCCTCACCACCACCTTCCATGGCCCCGATATGCGCCGCCCTCGTGCCCGGGACCCGTCCAGCAGGACGCCAGCAAATTATGCACAGCAACACCGATGCCGGCCACCTAACCAATCTTGGATCCAAGAACGGTGTGTACGGCGAGAATGCACTGCTCGTGGACTCAGCATGGTTGACTTGCATCGCCTGGGGACCGTGTCTGTCCCATCGCGCCGCCTTCCATGCCGAATCCGCCTCGACTCTGATTCGAATATCGATTCCGCATCGAATCCACACCACATCCACTCCGAATCCGCGTCGAACCCACGCCGAACCCACGTCGCAGTCGAGAAATTGCCTCAACTCGCAGGACAGACGAGGCACCACGAAGTTGCAACGTGTGCCTGGCGCCCTTCGACGGTCGGCTATGCCCAACGCCCCCGCGTCCGTGCTGGAGAACCCACAAGATGCGGACATACCCACTAGACCTCCCCCAGGAGTGCGCTGTGACCAGAACTTTCAAGCGAATCTGGCCGTGGAGACGGGGACCACACAGGAGTAGGGGAACGAGCAATGGCATGATCATGATAACTCGGAGGTCCGCGCGGACTTTCTCGGATCGGCGCTGGGACCCCCTGAAGCGGCGCCTCCGGCGCCGCCCCTGGGACGCTCCGCGCGCCAGGGATGGGGGGGGATCCAGCATCCAAGACTCCGCGCGGACCTCCGAGGTGTTATGTTTACGTCGGGCGTGTCCCCCTACAGGGGGATTTTGGGCGAAAACTGATACATACTCAAAAAATACCCCCCACATGGGCGAACAGAATGAAAAACATCGTCCCCAGACTATCTTTTTTGACTATTTTTGGATATTCCTCCTGTAGAGGGACAGGCCCGACTTCGTTGATTTACGTATGCCATGGCTCGTTCCCCTAAGGCGGCCCCCAAGGCGAAAAAAAACGAGGTGCTCGCTCTGTCCGCCGAGACCCCGCGCCCGAGCCCCGGCGGGCGGCACTGCGCACCCGAACGGGCGGCGCGGGAGGGCCGGCAGCCGTGCCCCTCCTGCTGCGGGCCGGCGCCTGCTGGCGCCGCCCTCCGCCGCTGCGGGCGGGCGGCGGCTGGCCCTGCGGCGGCGACGACGATGACGAGGACGAGGACGAGGTCGACGACGAGGACGAGGACGAGGACGAAGACAGCTGCGTGGGCAGCCGCGGCGGCGCCCACGCAGAGAGCGGCCGCCGCCGCTCTCTGCCGTCCTCCAGCGCCTGTGCCACGAGCGCGAGCCGGCAAGCTCCGGGCCTGCGATAGACACGGCCAGCACTGGTGCGATGCCGCTCCCCCTGGCCGCCGCACACGGCCACTAGTAGATCCAGGAGCACGGAGCAGCGGCTGAGCAGCGAAGCCACCACCGGCAAGAGGAGCCACGGGGACGAGCGGACCCCGCCTGCACCGCTCGAGTCACCTCCAGCCCCAAGCTGTGGGCATCGTGGAACTACTGGCTGGAGGTGGCCCGCATAGTGGTGGTGTCGCTTCGCCGTCTTGTGGCACCATCGCCCTGATGCTCACGTGGCAGCGAGGGGGGGCGAGGAATGCCCATCCGACGCGGGCAGGTCGCGCGAAGGCGGGAATGGGGGCCGTCGGCCGGAAAGAGAACGCTGAGCGATCGGCCACGTCGGCAAGAAATACGTACAATGCACCGGCCCCGGTCCCTGGGCGATACGACGCATTCCTTGCAGCCCGCTGCTCAAAGTAATCATGCGGACGACGCCTTTCCGATCCAACTCAACACACCACTGGCCAGGAGACTCCGCGGAGCCTCCTCTGCTGCCGTTGCCAAACCACCTCCAGAAGCGCTGCTGCTGCTGCTGCCGCAACATCCAGATGACCACCAGGAACACTGCATCGCAGCATGGCCCGCAGCCCGTGGATTCTGCCGCCGTTGCGGGGCTGCCTTGGAGCCAGGTGCCACCGCTGGTTCACAATTCCTGACAGGAGACCTCTCGAGTGTCCAACCTTGCACAGACAGGGGCCTCGACTCCAACGTGGCCTCAATGAGCAGGAACCCCTATCATACACGAGGAGCTTCGCAGAAGCCCCGGAAGACACAAGCCTGAGGCACAAACCTATGCGAGATTGGGCGCTGACTCGCTCGAAACCTTCCCCCGTCCCTCATCCTCCTACTTTCCCTGATTATCCTTTCACGTCGGACAGCGTCCACAAGTCAGACCAGAGGCTGTCAAACCCGGACCCGAATTAGACGACAGCGACCCATTGACATCCAAGTTGGACGAGCACCGCCGCGAAGAACCCCACCGCGGACAGGCCACACGATGGACAAGACCGACCTTGGCAGTGAGCCCCGCACTGCTCCAGCCTGGGTGAACAGAGTTTGTCTCTCCTCCAGGCCTCCCGCCGACAATAAAGCAGGCGCCGCCTGGATCACAGACAAACGCTCAAAGATGTGGCCACTTTGACTGGCATGTTGGACATGCAAGAAGTAGATTCCGCGCGACCGAAATGGCGACGGACATGAGCCAGAACGACGACGCCCAACAACGAATACGGCCCAAACGGCCAACAACGGCCGCTGTCGGGCAGGACACCGACAGCAAATCCTTTGCAAAATGGGCGGGCATCGGTGATGCACTGTCGACGTCGGCGATGCATCGCCGACGTCGGCCGCATGGCCAATGCGTCGGCGATGCGGCGCGATCCTCCGACCCCATTTGCTCTGACCCCACCTGGGAGGCCTGGATGCCAACCTTCGTCCCAACTCTTTCCAATCAGGGGCCCGTGATCGGGGATCTTCTGACCAGGGTCAATCCAGACCAGACTCAGTCGGGCCTTGCAGGATCTGGCAACAAAATCCTCCTGGATCCTGCAGGATCCTGTGCCCAAGCCCGGGTCACTGCTGCCCTGGCTCTGCAGGATCCTGCAAAATCTGGCGCTCTGACCGACACCCTCTTGCATTGACTGACCCCCGCCTCTTTAGCCCGACGCAGACCTGGACACGATAGACTGGGACATTCAACAACCCTCAAAACAGATTTTCGCTCCAGAGGTGCCACGAAAAAGAAACTGCAAGGCAACACTCCCGGAACAAATCCCGACAAAGGCCCTAAAACCCTGCAGCCCCATTCCCTAGATCCGGACAACTACCCGAACCATGCGGCGCAGCAAAGAAAACTGCACTGGACGACCAAATCTGGTTCGGAGGCCTAAATGTTGACACCAACACCAGATAGGCGGTGTGCCTTCACCGAGGGAAGATGCTCCCGATCTCGGTGGTGGTGGCAGTATTCGGCCTTTCGGAGTGGCCCAACTATCACCACCACTGCCAACATCTGGCCTCATCTTGCCCCTGTGGAGGCAGCCCCCTGCGCTGGTGCTCGTGGCCGTCTTCCGGTCCGTCTGTGTCCGCCCTGCCGCAGTTGGCTGGGGCTGGGGCTCGCCGGGCTGGGCCTCCCGCCCCGCCCCCCCCCGCCCCCCGGCGCCTGTGTCGATCGTCTGCCGTCCGGCGTTGGCCGTCGTCGCGTGGGCTCCCAGCTGCGCGCTTCGCGCTGCGCGAAGCGCGAAGTGCTGACAACTTCGCGCTCTCGCGCCGCCTCCCAAGGGAGAAGAGGAGGATGAGGAGGGATCGGAGCCGAGGCGCGAAGCGCGAATAACTTCGCGCCCTCTAGGGCGCCCTTGGTGTTGTGCCGTTCCTCTCCTTTCTGCCGCTGGGTTCCTCTCGCGTGGGTTTGAACAAATGTGTGTTCTGGTCTACGGGGGCCTGATCCGTGACCGCTTCGGCCGCACTGGAAGGCGGACCTCCCGCCCCCCCCCCCCACGAATCGAGCAGGGGATCGACTACAGAACTGATTTCCCCGCACAATTCCTGTTCCCGCACAATCCACGAACATAGCGCAGGTGGCTCGTCGATCGACGAACGTTCCACGCATGTGCCGTGGACTCGGCGGACAAATCAACTTTGGCTACATGCACGATATAGCCGATCCCCTACTCGGAAGAAGCTGGCCACGCGCAGAGGGGGGATAGGGGGAGGGGGAAATGCTTCTTAGAAACACCCCTGCTTCTTGAAGGCGCGGGGCATATGCCTCTTGATGTAAGGCCCGCGCGTTCTAAGAAGCAGCCTCCTTCTCGGAAGCCGCCCCCCCTTCCCCAACCCCCCCTAGTGCGCACGGCCAAAGAAGGGGGGCCCAGCCTCTAGATAGACATCAATGGTGCAGTCGTTGAGCTGGCCGCCGTTGAAGCGGCGCACGGCCTGCCCCCCGCACGGCTCGGCGGGAGCGGTGCGGCCGGCGCCTCCCCATGGCAGGGGCGCAGTCCGGCGCCCCTGTGCCAGGGCCCAGGGGGGGCACAGCTGGATCGGCACACGCTCCATAGAGGCCTCCCAGATGGGGTCGGAGTAGATGTGGTTGGAGGATCGCGCCCCATCGCCGATGCACTTGAGATGCATCGGCGACGTCGGCAATACATCGGCAACGTCGACGTGAAGCAAATCCGCCGACCCCTTGTGGGTCTCTAGGCGTGTGAGATAGTTCCCCCCCCGGGCCCCCCCCCCATGGGACCCCACACCGACGATTCGACCCCCCCCCCCCCGGGCCCCCCCCCCCCCGGGCCCCGGACGAGCGCACCACGGGCTCTTTTGGGCCCAACAGGAGCTCACGACGAGCCAAGAAGGCCCCAAGACGTCTCCAAGACGGCCCACGAGGGCCCCGAGACGCCAAACGAGCGCTCCAAGACGCCCCAGAAGGCCCCAAGACGAGCCAAGACGCCTCCAAGACATCCCAAGAGGCATCCAAGAGCAGTCCCCAGAAGGGCCGAAGAGCCGAAAATCGTAAGATTCATATGGGAAGCGTACATTTTGATCAAATACGACTTGTCGGCTCTGACGGCGTTGAAGACGGTCCATAAACACTCCATGTTCGATCCAAATCGGCCAAAGAAGCCCCCAATAGTGGCCCAAGCCGGCCCAAGAGGGCGCCAAGACGGCCCAAAAGGCCCCCAAGACGGCCCAAGAGGGCCCCAAAACGGCCCCAAGAGGGACCCAAGAGGGGGAGCCCGACCCGACAATCCGAGCCTTCCGCCCCAAGACGGGCGCAAAAGGCTCCAAGAGGCCCCAAGAGACCTCCAAGACGCCCCCAAGAAGCCCCAAAAAGCCCCCAAGAGGCCCCAACACGGCCCCAAAACGGCCCCCAAGAGGCTTAAGGCAACCAAAAGGCCCTCAGGAGCCCCCAGGAGGTCCCCCTAGATCCCCCCAGACGAACCCATGAGGCCCAAAAGGGGCCCCAAGAGACCCCAAAACAGCGCCCAAGAGGCCTCCAACCTGCCTCCAACACTTCCGTTTCCTCCCCGTCCTCCCAACTACTATCCATGAGCCCTCTATTGTCGTCGTCGCCGTCGTCGCCTTCTTCATCCCCGCACCCAACTCATCGCCCACTTCCTCCTCATCCTCCTCCTCCCCCTCCTTATCCTCATCCAATTATTCCCCCCCCTCTCCCCGCATCGGCAGATGTTCCTGAAACGGTAGGAGGCCCCCGAGAGGCCATCCACGAGATCCCGACCAACATCCTCTACCACTCTACCGTCGTCGTCGTCGCCGTCGTCGCCGTCCTCACGCCCATTTCCTACTCAGCTTTTCCTCCTCCTCCCCGTCCTCCACCTCGCCTCCAACTACTCCTCTCTCCCCCCGTTTCGGCAGATGTACGAGACCTCGACACTGCCTGCCAAAAGCCCGCGATAACGAATCGTAGACCTCAACCTACATACGAAAGGCCTCAGACGGACAACCCAGACACGGTGGCGGGATGGGCCCGATACACCGTATCCGACTCGTTTTCATGATCCACGCAGCGCGCGTTGGCATCGGTTCCGGACGGGCACCAGGGGGTGCGCGAAGCACGCCGTACAAGAAGAAAAAATACGCTACCGAGGAGCCCGACATACTTATTTCATGTCCTCTGTGTACTGCCGGTACTACGACTACTACTACTACTACTACTACTACTACTACTACTACTACTACTACTACTACTACTACTACTACTACTACTACTACTACTACTACTACTACTACTACTACTACTACTACTACTACTACTACTACTACTACTACTACTACTACTACTACTACTACTACTACTACTACTACTACTACTACTACTACTACTACTACTACTACTACTACTACTACTACTACTACTACTACTACTACGACTACTACTACTACTACTACTACTACTACTACTACTACTACTACTACTACTACTACTACTACTACTACTACTACTACTACTACTACTAGTTCGCCCAAGATGCCTCAAACACGGCCCCAAATTCCTCCAAGACAAACACGAACGGTTTCCAGACGGCTTAAGAGGCCCCAAAACATGCCCAAGAGGCCTCGGAGAAGCCCTCCATGACGGCCAAAACAGGGCAAACCCGAGATGCGCCACTGCTTGATCAGAGCTTTGCGTCCTAATTCTCTTCCTCCGCTTCCTCACACCCCTTCCTCATCATTATGCTTATCACCACCGTCATCATGTTATTCGTCCCTCTCCTCCACCATGAGTATCGCCCAAATGAAGTCCACGAGGGCTCCTCGAGAAGTGCAAACGAAAGGTGTCACATGTGTCGGGTCCCCTCTTCAATAAGGGCTCCTCGAGAAGTGAACACACGACAGTTGTCACGCATGACGGCTATTTATTTTGTTCGCCTTCCTTTTCATCATCCTACTTTTCCTCCTCCTCCTCATCATCGTCATCATGATCAACCTGTTCGTCGTCGTCGTCCTCCTCCTCATCATCATCGTCGCCGTCATCATCGTTGGGAAGGCCCTAGCCGAAGGCCCCACCGGATCCACCTGACCCCGAAATCCCCCAAATCGCCTCCAGGTCGCGCCAAGACGGTCCACCAGGCGACGGGACGACCCGCGAGAGCTCCAGGACGGCTCAAGAGAGGTTCATGGAGCGCCAAAACAGCCTCAGAGGACGCCGAGACGGTTCCGCTCAACGTCAGGAAGGGCCAAGATAGCTTCACGATGGCCTGAAACGATTCAAGGTCACCCCACGGCCGCCCCTGACGGTTCCAAAAGACACCGCAAAGCAGTTCTGAGGTCACCAAGGGCATACCACAATCCTCGGCAACAGATGGCGACGGCCAAGACGGCCGAAAAGAACACCCAGAGCGCCCCATGACAGCCCAGGAGAGGCCGATGACAGCCCAAGAGAGCCACAAGACAGCCCAATACTGCCCCAAAACGGCCTAAGGGGCTCCAAGACAACCCAAGAATGCCCCAAGAATGGCCCAGGGGCCTCAGACAACCCAAAGAGGCGACAAGACCACTGCGCGATTCTTCATAAGGGGTCGGCGGATGTGGCGTAAGCCTGAAGAATCGGGCTGCACATCGAGCCGCATCGGCGATGCATCGGCGATGCGGCGCGATCCTCCGACCTCCTCTACTCCGACCCCATCTAGGAAACCAAGACTTCAGGAGCACCTAGATTGTCCAGTATATCGCCTGGGTCCTCCTCTCCCCCTCCATACTCCATATGCCCCCACATCCTGTCCTGAAGGCAGCGTTCATGTGTGTGTGTGTGTGTCGTGCAGTTTGGGCCCTGCCACTCGAGGGCGTCCAAGAGAGGGGGGCGTCCAAGAGGGGAGGGCGCAAATCATGGCCAGCGGCATGTGCGCGGCCCAGGGGGTGGCCAGGGGCGTATCGACATAAGGCCAGGCACCATAAAAGCTGGGGAGATATCATGGCCCCCACCATGATATCCCCCCCTTGTCATCAACCCCCCCTTTGCCGCCCCCGAGCCACAGAATGGACCGCTCCAACCGCAGCGATCGCTGCTCTCCGCGAGCGCAGACCTCTCGATGTCGGCCGCTTCTGGGACTCCCGGCGGCAATCACCCTTGAGCGCCCGCGCTGGGGTGCCCCCGCCGCGCCGGCACGACGCGAACTCAGCAACCTTTACCCCTCTGTCCTCATGAACCAAATAGGCTTACCCTATAGGAGTTGCAACTCATTCTGTACTCATTGGTCGTTTGCCCCGACGAAACCCTATGCCCCCCAAATTCCTATGGCTATGTCTAAGCCGATGCCTCTCCCCAAACTCCTATGCCTACGCCTATGCCTATGTCTACTCCTATGCCTATGCCTCCCCCTAACTCCTGTGCCTATTCCTATGCCTCCGCCCTAACACCTGTCCTCATCTTCCTTTCCTGCGCCGTGGGTGGGGGCTCGCTAGAATGTCACCCCAATGAACAAGGCATGTGGGCATAAGAGGCTGTCCCGAACAAGACCGAGTAAGATGCAAGCTCGGGCGAGGTGCGGACGCCCAGCGCCGTGCTGCGGCAGAAAGATCGAACTCCTGGGAAGGAGCTGCGCACGGCATGGGTCTCCCAGGGCCACACAAACCTAATCCGAAAACAACTTCAGACGCTACCGGTAAGCCACACTATTGGTCAGCGATGAACGAGCATGTCATGTTCTCAGAGCGCATGCCACGCTACATCTCTGTCATACGACCAGACATGCGTTTCTTTCAGATGGCGCATCCTCGCAGTATGGCTTGGAGTCGCTATTAGCAAAAGTTGACTTCCGAGTTGCAAGGCCACTGACGATATCGCGCGTGCACTGCCGAAGATTGCTTGGGACTGGCATCTGAGCAAGGCGAGTGCAAAGCAATTAAAGCTCGCCGTGACAGACGATCTCGCGGAGCAGGGGGTCTTTAGTCCCGTCTGAATATAAAAACATATGGGATAGTTCATTTCAACGCCGTTCGATATCTGGCAGCCCTGTCTAAGACCCGAAAAGGCCTTTCAGAATCCAAGGTGAACGAAAAGCCTCGCTCCAGGAATCCCCCCCCGAGGAGCGAGAGCAGCAATACATACATCTATATATTAGACACACACATATATATATATATATATATATATACATATATATAGAGATATATACAACAGAAGGCCTCTAATGCTACAGCGCCTCCCCCTCCACCCTGGCTATCGTCTGGAAATGAATCGCGTCCTCCCCCTTCTTGTCCCTCCCCTCTTCGCCCTCCTCGTCGCTCTCCCTCCTCGCCCTCCTCCTTGCACTCCCCTCCTCGCCCTCCCCCTCGTCCTCCCTCTCCTCGTCCCCCCCCCTCCTCGCCCTCCTCCTCGCTATCCCTCCTCGCCCTCCTCCTCGTGCTCCCCTCTTTGCCCAATCCAGTTCCCTCCCCTCCTCGCTCTCCTCCTCGCTCTCCCTCCTCGCCCTTCTCCTCGTGCTTCCCTCCCTGGGAATCCCAAGGGAGTCCTAGGGGCTCCCTGAGGATTCCTAGGACCCTCGCTGCCTCGTGCTCCCTTAAGGCTCCTCCTCATCGCGCAATTGTTTCTGACTGTGTCTCGCCTGTGGGTTGTTGTTGGGTGGATATGTATCCTGGCGGATGTTGCACTCTGGTCTACTCTGCTCGACAGAAGGATTTGAGCTCCTGCGAGCATGCGTTGCAAGATAATTCGCTACATCTCCAATCGAGTCGGCGCGGCGTCGTCGTCGGCATCGTAGTCGCGACTATCGTCGTCTTCCTATAGGGGTCGCGCGCATAATCGTGCGCAGTAGTAGCTCGCCATGGTTGAGGCGAGCTTGGCCGGCGTGTCCCGCGCTCGCAACTATCCGCACGCTGTTATTTGCCTGTGGGTTGTTGTTGGGTCATTATTTCTCCCTGCGGGCTTTGCCTGGTCTACCCTGCACGACGGAAGATAATTCAACTTGTTTGTACACAGGTTGAAAGATCATCTGCTATGTCTCCAGTCGATTTGGCGCCGTGTCCTCGTCGTGGCCGTCGTGATCGTTCTCGTCGTCGTCTTCATATGGGGAAGGAGCTGTAGGATTTCGACGAATCCCTCTGAACCCTTAGGAATCCGGAAGGAATCCGAGGAATCCTGAAGAACCCCAACAATGGTCGCCGCGAGAAGGTACGTTTTTCCCAAGTATCGCTTCCGGTCTCCCAGAAAAGAGGGCCGATTAAATACCCTCGACAGTTATATATATATATATATATATATATATATAGAGAGAGAGATATACAGACACAACTCCTGGAAGTCCGAGCGGATAACTCGGGTCGGCACTGGACCGCTCCTTTCGCGCGCACGAAGCGCGGCCCGAAGATATCCGCGCGGACCTTCGGAAAATCATGCTTATGATGTGTCGCTGCGCCGTTTGCTCTGGACGCGCCCAAGTCGACGACGCCGACACCACGACAAACCCACAGCAAGCCCTGCGCCCCGCGCCCCAGGTAGACGAAGCTGGCTGGCACCGTGGCAAACCCATGGCAAACGCTGCCCCCAAGGCGGAGTTTTCCCTGGTGGCCGAGGCACCCTTCCCAAGACGCAAGGCCGCGCGTCGGAACAAACGGCGCAGCGACAAGTTGCTGTTTTACCTTCTCCGAGAATTGGGGGCCTGGAAATTGGCACCAACACCAACACAGGGGGTTGCCTCCACAGGGGGAAGATGATCCTAGATTTCGGTGTTGGTGGCAATATTCCGGTCACCTTGGAAGCCAGAATATTACCACCATCACCGAGATCGGCATCGTCTTCCCTCGGTGGAGGCACACCGACGATCTTGGTGTTGGTGTCAACCACTAGGCCTGCGAGAGAAGGAGCTTTTGGGCACCGTTCTTTCCCGTAACCCTTGGGCGGGCACGTCGGGGCGGGGGTGCGCTGCGATCGCCAGAACATGCGCGCGAGCACCAACATGTGGGAGGGCCCCCCCCCTCGCGCGTACTATCGTGACCGCTACCTTCGGGGGGGGGGAGGATCTGGCCGGGGCAGCGACCGTTACGTGCCAGAGGATACAAGCTAGTATCTCTATGGCAGTGCAGCTGTGCCGCCGAGGGATCGTAGAGCCAGCTGAGACAGCGGCGAGCTCCACCCGGGACGCGGATCCAGCCGCCACGGCGAGCGGCCGGCAAGGACTGCCCCCCGCTGTCTCGAGCTCCTCCAGCTCCCTTCGGCGACACCCGGGGCTCGGGACGGCCGCCCAGGACGACCCCCGGAGCGTCCGCGTCGAGAGAGGGCAGCTGGGCGAACCCCCAGGGCCCCGGAAAGCACTGGAAACCTCTTGGGGGGGAGGAGTGCTGGTACCGCCAGTCCCGGCTGGCGCTGATCGCGCGCGCGCGGGTGCGCGCGCCCCGCCCTCCCTCCCTCCCCCCCCCCCGTGGCCCCCCCCCCCCCCCTGCGCCCTCCCGCCGTGTCGTCCCTTCGTCTGCGTTTGTCCTTTTCTCCTTCTTCGTCTTCTGCCACTGGGCTCCTCCTGCGTTGGTAAAAACGTGTTCTCCGTGTGGGGGGGAGGACCACCCAGGAGCGACGAGGGCTCTCGATCACGAGCCGCGGTATCGGTACTTTTTCCTCCTCAAGAAACCTCTGACATCCGCCGATCTGCTTTTGCTGATCCGCGGCCCCGATTGTCTGAACCGCTTCCCACGGGGGTAGGTCTTCTAGCATAAAAAAACATAAGCGTATACTCCTGGCGCTGCGCACGGATTTCTTGGATCTGCGCTAGGCCCCCTTCCCTGGCGCACGGAGCACGCCAGGAGCGGCGCCGGAGGCGCCGCCAGGGGAGCCCAGCGCGGATCCGAGAAATCCGCGCGGAGCGCCCAAAAGTTCGTGTTTACGGAGTGTTCTCTTCGTCGATGTTCGACCTCAGGTCCAGGCGCGAGTGCCCCCCACGGAAGAGCGGCAGCCGCGGGGCCGGAAAATCAGGGAGGCACCGCCAGTGGACCAAAAATCAACCCGTCGGAGCTTTGTGGGGGGCGTCCCGACTGGAATTTCGAGGAGCCTTCCAGACAGTGGCGGTGCGGGCCCTACAGCGCGAGCAGCGGCATCGCCATCTGTAAATGGGGCCCAGGGACACAATAATAAATTCACACAGATCTCAAAATCCCCCGCAGTTTCGCATATTCCCCAGGCTCTCGTCTTCCCCCCCGCTTCCCATATTTTCATATCTTTTCTAGGAAATCGACGGTTATTTGTCTGTGTGCTTTCCCTCGCCAAAACCTGTTCCTCGTCGGACAGCGGAAAACGCAGCGGAGCGCGCTGAGTCCGCCTGCCGGCCGGCCAGCAGGCCCCTCAAGGGGCAGCGCGGGTGAGCCAACGCCCGCATGCGATGTCGCCCTCGAAATGCCAGGGGGGAGGTCCAGTGTCGCCTGACTCGATAAAACACGACGCCTGCTCGGCAACCACGGGTATATCAAGCAAGAAAACTGCCACGCGTGAGCCAGACTCCCTTTTTGGTACACGATTACTGTAATAAAAATGCCCTTCCAAAAACCCACTCTTGTCGTCGCACGGGCATCTGAGAGTCAGTCGGACACAACGCAGACAGACGTGACAACCACTGCAGCAAATTTTACCGACGCGCCCATAGATTCGTCAACACCAGTCTGCATTCGTCACACAAGCACCGCATAAGTCGCCACACATTCGCCACATAATTACCACATTGCCTCCTCTGCCAGGAAGCCCCAGAAAAACATCGTCTAACCGATCCCTATCCCCACTGCCGTGGCCCTTGCCGCACTGGCCGATTTCCCCCCTTGGATGGGGATGTAGGCCGTTCCCTTCGGGTTCCGAGGGACCTATTCCCAACGGTCCCCAACCGGGGTGGTGGGCTGGTGGGGCTCAGATGCTGCGCCTCAGTGGCGATGGGGCTAGGCTGAACGATACTGACGCACTCCGACAAATCGCATCGGCGATCGAAGTGGATCGGATCGGCGGGAATCGGCAGCCAAGTCCGGGAAGGAGGAGGAGGAGGAGGAGGAGGAGGAGGAGGAGGAGGAGGAGGAGGAGGAGGAGGAGGAGGAGGAGGGAGGAGGAGGGAGGAGGAGGAGGAGGAGGAGGGAGGAGGAGGATCGGCAACCGAGTCGGGAAACGTTGAATGGGCGGAAACTTGCCGGCGGGCATCGGCAGCCTCGGGAAGAGCTTGGCGAGCTCTCGTGCCGCATTCATATGCCAAGGCCCCCCCCCCTGATCAACGTTGGAGGTGGGCTGAATGAGTGGCACGTCGACCGCAGACCTCCCCTCCCCGCGCGTGCCAACTTTGCGTTCGGGGGGGCGGGGGGAGTGTCCACTAACTGTTTCCCTCTACGGTAGTATACCTCCCGTAAGAAGTCGCAAGCCACATCGGAATCCCAAGTCAACGCGAATCCGAAGGGGCGAATACCGAAGTCGAATCGCATCGAACCAGAGGGAGCGCAGCGAGCCCTGCCTCCGCCTCCGCCAGAAGGCCCGCAACCGAGTCGGGAAACGCTGAATCGGCGGAAACTGGCATGCTAAAATGCCTCCGCTGAGAAGTCGGAAACCACATCGGGATCCCAAGTCGAAGCGAACATGGATCGGCGACCGCCGAAGCCGAACCGCATCGAGTCGGAGGCAGCGAGAGCGAGCCCTGCCTCCTGCTCCTCCTCCCCGTACTCCTCCTCGACATCCTGCTCCTCCCCCCGGAAAGAGAGAGAGAGAGAGAGAGAGAACGAGAGAGAGAGAGAGAAGAGAGAGAGAGAGAGAAGAGAAAGAGAGAGAGAGAGAAGTGAAAAAGAGAGAGAGAGAGAAGAGAGAGAGAGAGAGAAGTGTGAGAGAGAGAGAGAAGAGAGAGAGAGAGAGAAGACAGAGAGAGAGAGAGAGAGGGAGAGAGAGAGAGGGCATGGCCTGCCCCCCCCCCCCCCCCCCCGAGGCTCCCCCAACAGCAGGCGCCTCCTGCGCCGCCGAGCGCGAGGTGAACGTGATCTTCGCCGAGCTCGAGCCTCGGCGGCCCGCGCCCGCGCCGGGAGGAGGAGGAGGAGGAGGAGGAGGAGGAGGAGGAGGAGGAAGAGGAGGAAGAGGAGGAGGAGGAGGAGGAGGACGAGGACGGAGGAGGACGGAGGAGGAGGAGGAGGAGGAGGAGGAGGTGGAGGAGGAGGAGGAGGAAAAGGACGGAGGAGGAGGAGGAGGAGGAGGAGGAGGAGGAAAAATCGGCTGCCGAGCAGGGAGAAGTCGAATCGGCGGAGATCGGCATGCTAGTGTGCATCCAGTAAGGAATAGGAGTCCAAATCGGAATCCGAAGTCGAATCGCATCGGAATCGGAATCGAATCAAAAGGGGAGGAATCGAAACACGCCATGGTTGTGGGGGGGCAGGCTGCGGCGGCGGCGGGTGGGCGCCCCCTCCGAGGGAAACATGCCGGAGGTTCCGCGGGGGGCAGCTGGCTTCGCCTTAACGCTGCCGATATACCTCGCAGGTCGCGGCCGGGCAGACCCTGAGATCCTGGCAACTCAATCCTTTCGAGCCGGGCGTGTTCGCTGGACTTCGGGCCCCGGGACCCTCACGGACCGATCCGGCCCGATCCGGTCCGCGGGTCTGGCCGAGATTTTTCCAGGGCTCCCAGCTTCGCGCCTCGCGCTGCGCGAGGCGCGATGTGCGAATACTCGGACGATGCGGAAGAGGAGGAAGAGGAGGAATCGGAGCCGAACCGCGAAGCGCGAGGCGCCGTTTGCGCCGGAGCCACGTCGGGTTCGCGGCGGACGTCCGTCGGAACATGGCCGCGCGAAGGTCATCCCAGAGCCAACCAGGCGGACGTGCGGGCTGGAGAGTACAGCCCTGGCGGGCCGCCCTGGGCCTCCAGGGGGCAGCTCGTTCCAGCTTCTGGCAGGACACCTCGCCGGGGCCCCTGTGAACTTGCAGCGTGTTCCAGCAGGCCTCTTCGAACTGCTTGCCAAAGCCATGTGCCGTCAAGCTTTCCAGCTCCTTCTGAGACGAAGCTAGCACGAGGATAATATCGGGCGAGGAAAAATTTGGAATTCTGAGATCTGGCGGTTCAGGGGGAGGTATCGGGCGCCGCGGCCTCCTCAGAGCGTTCTGGACGCTCTGATTGCGTTCCGGAGCGCTCTGGAACGGCTTTGTCCGCGTCCTGGCCCCGTCCGACCTTCGAAGCACCTTGCGGAGGCTTCTGTCGCCTCGCTACCAGGGCTTTGGACACCACTGGTGCCAAGTGCGCCGCGCGATGCCTCGTCCAGGGGGTCCTCACGGCGCCCCGTCAGGAGGCGGCGGCACGCGCGGCGCCAGGCGCAGAGGCATTTGACCTCCGACGATGTTCTTTGGTTTTGTTCTCCACCCAACGGATGCGGTTGATCTTCCGGTCGAAGCTCCCCAGAGCGGGTGCTAGCGCCATCGTGTGCTTGAGCACCGACGTCCTCCGACACGACGCGGGCACTGCAGTGAAGGCCCTGACGCTGCTTTTTTCCTCACACCTTGCGGATGCTGTGGATGTCGGCCGAAGGCCCCCAAAACGGGTGCTAGAACCAACGCGTGCCTGGGCTCTGTTCGAACACAATCACGTCGCCGATCCGGACCAGCCTCGTCTGGAAATCGACCTCAGCATTCTCGCCGCCCGGCGCCTTCTTGATAAGCTTCGTGGCCGTACGGAAAGCCCAATCCCTCGTCAAGTTCACCTGTGTGGTGGCATCCTCAATGACGATCGCCTCACCGAAGGACGTCGTTCTACTCCTGGTCCTTGCCTTGTCGAGGACCTGTCCACCAGCGACGTGGCGAAGGCGCAGCACAGCCGCGCGCTGCCGGCGAGGCGGAGCGGGGCAAACACACACGCGTTGGGCTGGCGCGCGCCCCGAGGAGCACCGAGGCGGCGCCTCCGGGGCCCGGCGTGGAGCCCCCGGGGGCCATGCTCACGGAGCACCGCGGCACCCGGATCTGCAGTCCCCCTCGGGGATGGCGCTGGCCCCGCGGGCCGACTTTCAAGGGGCCCAAGGACGCACAGATAAATACACACAAATAAACTGATTCCCCATACTTTTTCCATATTTTCCGGGTGTTTGTCTTCCCGCCCAATTCCCATATTTTCTCACATTTTCCTGGGAGTCGACAGTTCATTGTGTCTGTGTGTTTTTGTTTCCCTCCTGAGACTTGGCCCCCTCGGTGGGGATGGGCTGGTCGGGCCAAGGCACAACGACCCACTGAGGGTGGGGATGCGCTGGGCGACGCTGAAGAATGGAGCGGGGGCGAAGCCTACTCCTGGCAAAAACGGGGCGCAGATGTGTCGCGCATGCGGCCCGCGACGCCCGCTTGCGAAGACCGAGCCGCACTCCAACATCACACAAGCACAGCACCTAAGCCGCATCCACATCAACATCATACTTATATGATGCAAGGCGCCAGATCGGCCAGCTCTCCGACCTGGCATGGTGGACCTCGTTCTCATCATCCTGACTGATCATGTTCCGCATTCGTCTCCGTCTCGTCTACACTCCGCTCTCCTGCTCCTCCTTCAACTGGTGTGTGCAGTGTGGGTTCCACTTCTCCTCGTCGCCTGGCGCATCAACGTTGCACACAGGAGGGTGGTCGTGCGTCCAACGCTTCCGCTGCAATGCAACTAGCCACATGGGCTGCTGCTGCGGCCCCAGTCGCGGCCGGGACGGCCGCTGGCGCAGCCGCGGCCTCCTCTGATGCCGTCCCTGGCGACCATCGCTGAGCTTCGTGCGCCCTTCCTCCACCGTGTGTCCCCCCCCTCTCCTCCTCTTCACGACCCTCGGAAGGCGAAGCGCAGTACTACGAATTAGGGCAAGAGTGTTGCAACGTTGAGGAGCATGCAGGCCCGGAGGACGCCCCGGCGACGCGGCCATTTCAGAGAGCCCGGGAACGCTCTGGAACGATCTTGCGGGTTTCGGGCGCCCTGGATTAAGGTCGGGCCTGTGGACTCAGAATCAAAACAGTGTCAAACAATGCCCCAAAATGGTCAAACAATGTTCCAACAGTCGTCCCCTGACTATTTTTCTACTATTCTTTAGTATTCCTCCTGTAGAGGGACGTGCCCGACTTAACCCTGGACCCCCTCTCAGCAACGCCAGCACTTCTTGGGATGGCAACTCTTAGTTCCGCTGGCTTCCGCTGGCTGCCGCTGGCGGAGCCGCTCCCGGTGTTGCGTGCTCCCGCCTGCCTTCCGCCGCTGAAGAGACATGCACATCGCTCACTTCTAATCGTGCTCATTTCTAATCGTGCTCGTTTCTAATTGTTCCTGCCCCCTAGTGGCCACGAAGAGGCCCAGGATAGAACACATAGAAATGAAAGGATCTTGGCCACCCAAAAAATCAAAGAACTTTCGAATAATGAGAAAGTGAAAAAAACTTCTCGTCCCCTCGAAGGCGAGGCCCTCTCTTCAGCGCTTGACCTGTCCTCCTCCTAGGCCTGCCTGGTCATCCCTAACACCCACCCCGTGGATCTGCAGCCCAAGCCGCGCACAGATAAGAAAGCAGCGGGCGCATCTTCGGGCCGGCGTGGGCGACGACCATCGAAATCCGAGAGACCCAGGGTACCCTGGAGGCAAGCAGGGTGATTCTTGGCATGGGCCTCCACTGCACATGTTGCGGCACAATCTTGGTCCTGCTCTGGGCGCCCCGCGATCAAGTTGCGTTGCTCTTTGACGGAGGCGACGGGGGTGCCCTGGAACGCGCAGAGCGCACCTCGCAGGCGTCGGGCACTTGCCTGGCGTCTGCCAGTGGTGCCCGATGACTGCCGAGGGCGGTCCATGCTCATGCTGAGACTCCGGGGCTACTTGCTTGTGGTGGGAGGGCGGGCGGGAAGGAGCGACACGGCCGTCCCGACCACACGTCTTGGACATCCCCGACTGCAAGGAAGCTTGCACATGCGACTCAGGAAAACCCAAGAAGAGAGGAAATGGACGGGGCTGGAAAATTGCGGCCAGAGCTGTATGAAGGGGCCCTGGGACACAAAAGTAAATACACACAAATAACCCGATTCCCCTATGTTTCTCATATTTTCTGGGTGTTCGTCTTCCCCCCCACTTCACATTTTTTCCGTATTATTTTCCTGGGGATCGACGATGAATTGTGTCAGTGTGCTTTTTGCCCCCCTGACTGTAGCGGGGCCCGGCATTGCTGGGGAGAGGCGACGATGAACAGAAGCTGGAAGCGAAACGACCAGGTGGCCGGAGAGAGATCGCCAGGGCCTGGCCGTGGGCCGCTCTCTCCAGCCACTCCGTGCGGACCCGCAGGGGATATTCCCCGGTGGGGGCGCATGCTTAACCAGCCTCGAACGTATCCCTATCCCTAAGATTGACACGCCAAAAGGCGATGACAATCTTAGGGTTTCGCCCTCAAAAAGGAAGGGGATCCCTAAGATTGCCATCGTGATGAGGAGGTGCCCAGCACAGGGATAGGGATATGTTCCAGGCTGGTAAGCATGCTGGGATCACCACCTCAACCGGCCGAGGCCCGTCCGCCTGCGGCGGCCTGGGCGGTCGACACTGCAGACACGACCGATGACGATGGGCAGCGCCCTTTCTTCAGCAAGTGGGGGTTGATCAGGGCTTCTTCAAAATCGGGCCTCGCCGGCCCGATCCACCCCACTCCCTCGAGCGGCGGTGGGTGGGTGGGAGCGAGAGCGAGAGAAGCACCGCGGGCGCGACAGCCTCCTGAGCCCGCGATGGCTACAGACAGATGTGCAGGCACCCAGTGCCTGACCTTGTAGGGCCCAACTGGGCCCCAACCCTGTGTTCCCGGACGCCTCTCCGGGACCAAACCCAGGGGCCAAATCATGTTCCCGGAAGCCTCTCCGGGAACATGACCAGGGGACATGTTGAACTGTTCCCGGAAGCCTCTCCGGGAACATCACCAAAGACCTCAAAAATGCTCATGGCAACCCCTCCTTAACATCCTTACGGGGGGTTTTGCGAAACGGGATTTCGACCGCTCGAATCCGGTTCACATGCAAACACTCGACAGCCCTCCTCGGCCGAACCGGCTGCGATGGTGGTGTATGATTTACAAGGTCCAGGCTTGGCCTTCTGGCCCCACAGTGTGGGTGGTGACTCCCTAGGAGAACATTTTCGGAAGTACGCGCGGATTCTTTCGACCGGCGCTCGGTCCCCCCTCGTCGCTGGCGCGCGGAGCACGCCAAGGGCGACGCCGGAGGCGCTGCCAGGAGGGTCCAGCGCCAATCCGAGAAAGCCGCGCGGACGTCCAGGCGTTTGCTTCTTATGCCATGTCCTCTCCTCCGATGAGGGGGAACGTCAGGGGGGAACCAACTCAGGAAGGAAGCAGTCAGCCTGGAATCAGCGATACACGATAGGCCCTTGACAGCGAGACCGCACGTGCCTGGCCGGGGTGGGCCATCGGGCCCAGATCGGCGATTACTGGGCGTTTGGGGTCGACACGTCCCCCCCTGAGCCTGTTCCCCCTGACGTTGCCCTCGGGGTTATCGGGTCCTACCTCGGGCCACCGGCGGCCGTTCTGGACGATCCGCGCCCCCCCGGGGCGCTCTCGGAGAGGAGCAGCCGCTGGAAGGCATCCCGAGGCCGGGACACCGTCGAGGAGCCACGGAGCTTCGTCCCCCCTCGCCCCCGGAGTCCCCTGCTCCGTTCCGGCGGGGGCGGCGCGCCCAGGGTGGCCCCCGCGACGTCCCCCACGGTGCTGAACGCCCGCTCCAGGTCGCGCTTGTCCAGGCGCAGGCCCTGGATGCCTGAGGCGATGGGCTGATTTCCCACCACCACTCCTGGTAGGCAGGTAGGTAGGTGGGTGGGTAGGTAGGTAGGTGGGTAGGTAGGTAGGTAGGTAGGTATGTAGGTAGGTAGGTAGGTAGGTGGGTGGGTAGGTAGGTAGGTAGGTAGGTAGGTAGGTAGGTAGGTAGGAGGTAGGTGGGTGGGTAGGTAGGTAGGGAGGTCGGTAAGTAGGAGGTAGGTAGGTAGGAGGAGGAGGAGGTGCCACGATTTGGGATGCAACGCCTGGATCTGGGTGAAGGAAGAGGACGAGGAACAGAAGGAGGCTCGCGGGTGTCTGGAAGCTTGGTCCTCCCCCAGTCTGGGCCCCTGGACCTGCGGCACGCCCTGGGGACGTCCACTTTGCGTGCTCCCCGCACTCACTCTCCTCCTCCTCCTGCTCCTCCTCCTCCACACCGTGTTCTGCAGCATCCTGGAGGACAAGACGGAGGACTCGCTCTTTGTCTTCTCCCACTTCCTCTAACTCCTGGGTGTAGGCTTCGACCTCCAGCCACGCTGGGGGACAAGGGTACCGCGACCGCCAGTCCCCCGACCCCTCCCGGGGTGCGTTCTGACCAGAATTCCTAGGAGAATCCAGCCGTGGCGACGAGGGCTATTCAGGACGAGCAGCGACATCAGTAGTTACCTTTTCCTCCTCGGTCCCCCTTAGACTGCATGTCATTTCTGCGCGATTAGAGGAATAAGAATAACAAGCTGCAGAACCAGAAACTTTCGGAACTCCGAGCGGATGTCTTGGATCTGCGCAGGACCCCTGGCGCGCTCCGCACGCCAAGGAGAAAGGGCATACGAGTCAGATCCAGAACACATCCGCCGCGAAAGCTCATGTTCATGCCGTCCACTCTTCGCTTCAATCCCCAGTGTAGGCCATGGTATCCACGCCCCTGAAGATCCCCTCCCCCCCTCCTCCGTTTATGTTCCTGGATTCAGTTCTGCCGGCCTCGGGGCCAAGCAAATGGCACGCGAGGGCCAACAGATGGGAAAACCCGTCGGGATGGGCGTTGACCCCAGCATTTTTGAAGCGGCCCAAGGACACACAACTAAATACACACAAACAAAACTATGCCCCCTATGTTCCCAAATCTTTGGGGGGTGTTCGTGTCCCCCCCCACTTCCCAAGATTATGTTCCAATATTTTCATCGGAATCGGCGGTGGACAAACCTCCCTTTAGTAAACCTCCCCTTAGTGACAACGGCCTGGGGCCGAAACCGACGGATCTGGACCCGCAAAAATGACGGCCCCGACGCCCTCTCGCGAACAGAAAACGGCCAATTCCTTAATCTACGTGTCAGGGTAGGAGGTCTGTCCACCCCCGAAGGAATCGACGATTCATCGTGTCCGTGTTCTTCTCTTCCTCCTAAAAATTCTGCTTGGCCCCGAGCGGGCGTCTGCTCTACAGCTAGCGCCCTCCTCCGTGCGCGGCCCTCGGGGGCCCCTGAAGGGGGGAGGGGCCGCATCCGAGCGCGCGGGCCGCGGCTGGTACCCAAGGGCTCCCAGCTTCGCGCTTTTTCGCGCTGCGCGCAGCGCGACGTGCGAATAGGAAGGGGCCCTGGGACACACAGATAAGTACACACAAATATAGAAGGATTCCCAATATTTTCTTGTATATTTTCTGGGTTTTTGTCTTCCCCCCCACTTCCCATATTTTCCCATATCTTCCTGGGAGTGGACAATTAATTGTGTCAGTGTGTTTTTCCCCTCCTGAGAATAACCTCGCGCTCTCGCGCCGCCTCCCAGAGGAGAGGAGGACGAGGAGGAATCGGAGCCGAAGCGCGAAGCGCGGAGCGAGAACGACTTCGCGCCCTCGAGGGCGCCCTTGCTATCGCATCGCGCTCCTCCGAATGGAAGCCCCGGTGTGCCTCGGGGATCTGCTGACCCGGGTCGATCCAGACCCGGGTCAGTCAGGCCTTGCAGAACCCTGCCAAATCCTGCAGTCAAACCCAGGTCAACGCGCAAGATCCTGCAGGGTCCTGCACCCAAACCCGGGTCGATGCGAACCTGGACCTGCAGGATCCTGCAAGATCGGGCGCCCTGGCGGATCCACCCCCGTCTCAAGGCTCCCGAGTGCCCGCACCAAAGGTCACTCCGGCAACGGGCCATGAACTGTTACGTTTTAGATAGAACCGGACGCCCGAAGTGGTACGAGAAAAAAAAAAACAGGCACCGTGGACCATGCCCAACAGCGAATTCTGTCCAAATCCGACAGCTGCCGCTGTTGGACAGGCGGCCTTCTGCCGCAAATGGACAACGTCCGCGGCGGCGCGGACATCGAGTCCTGTTCAAAATGGGAAGGAACTGCTGTTGGACATCGTACCCATTCTTCCCGTACGCACCTCGTTCGTACTGGGACGTGCGCAAGCGAACGAAACGTGAGCTTACGACCATGCTGACTCCAATCGCTGCACGCCATCCTGCTAGGGGCTGGCCATGACGGCCTACTCGGCGCAACGGCTGGTCTGGGTTGGCCACGCGATCGGTGCACACTCGGGGCCGTCCAGCGGCATGCTGCCTGGATGCCCCTTGGCCGTCTTCCTCAGCGTGCAGACGTTCTGGCAGAGGGCTTACGCCGACGACTTCATTCTCGGGCACGAGGCGGCCGAAGTTCAGGAGGCCGTGCGCGAAGCGCTCTGGTCAATGGCGGAGTTTGAAACAACCATGGAATGGCGGCTCAAGAAAGGCAAAAGCCGCCAAATCACAAACTCTGTTGGTCTCCGCCGCTGGCTTCGCTCGCAAGCTGGGGGGGTACTGCCCGCTGCGGCATCGGTGACCTTGGCGTGTACGGTGTCCACCGCAGGGATGGACCGGCGCTGCGCGGTGACCGGCGCGCGGGCTCGGATGGCGACTAGAGGCGGTCCTCCCGCATCGCCAGGCTGCCGGTGGGCAGCGCTGCTTGCTCGGCGCGGCGGCTGGCACGCCTGCCGGCATGTACGGCGCCTCGCTCGGCTGGTCCCCAGAGCGCGACCTGGCCAGCCTGCGGTCGGCCGCGCGGCAGGCCGCCTGCGGGCGTGCTGCGGGCTGAGGCCGAGATCCTCTTCGGCGTGCTCGGCCCGAGCTGGCGCCGCGACCCTGCCCTGCCGCGGTCGCTGCCCTCTCCCCGCTGTGGCAGTCGGCGCATGCGCTGCGCCGCCGGCGCTTGCCGCTCGGGCTCTGGCCCGGCATGGCAGGCTCCGTGGGCGCCAGCCACGACCGCTTGGAGGGGCCCGCAGCCGCCGCACAAGACACCCGCGCGGCTCTGCTGGACGCTTGGGCGCGGTGCGAAACCCTCGCGGTGGCCGGGCGGCGCCCCCACCTCAGACGCGTCGCAGACGGGGTCGACCGCCCCGGCGCCTGCTGGAAAGCAAGGAGCTCCCGCCGGACGCAGCCGGCGCCTTGCGCGCGGTCTTCACGGGCAACATCGCCACCGAGACGGTGGCCGGCAGGTGAGGCCAGCCCTCGCCATGATGCCCGCGCTGTGTCGCCTCGGATGAGACGCGCGAGCACCGCTTCTGGAGGTGTCCCAAAGTGGGGCGCGGTCCGCCGCGCCAAGCTGCGGGCTGGCGGCTTCAGCGAGGACGCCCTGCTGGGGCGCTTGCCTGCTGTGGCCGCGTTCTTCGGAATGCTGCCCGCAGACGCTCGCCTGGCCGCGCATGCTGTGCAAGCCAGGCAGCAGCTGCCGCTGCCTCCGCTGCCGCCCAGGCGGTGTGCCCCGGGCAGGCCCGGGCGCGGGCGTGGAGCGACGGCATCTGCGAGCATCCCACCGATCCGTTGCTGGCCCAGGCCGACTAGGGGTTGCGCTTAGAGTGGCCCGACGGCACAGTGCGGCGCTGCAGTGGGCTGGTCGGCACCGCTCAGCGCGCTGATCTCACCGTGACCGCGCATGTCGACAGCGAGGCATGGGCCCCCGTGGGGCTGATCTCCGACTCCAAACATGTATGCCGAGGGATCGCCGCGCTGCATGCGGGCGCGCATCCCCGCGAGTGGACGCACGGGGACCTGTGGGAGCTCCTGGCTCCGAATCGCCAGATCGGCTACATTTCAGCGCGCTGGGTGAACGGCCGCCTCGATGCGGAAGCTGCTGCGGCAGGGGGGTCGCGCTGGCGACGCGAACGCCGACGAGCTGGCGGGGGCCGCGGCGCGCGCTCAGCTCCCCGCGCCTGCTCTCTGCACGCAGCGGCAGGTGCAGCTGCACGCCCTGTGGGTTCTCCAGCGGGTGATGTTGGCCGTGGAATTGGCCGCGCTGCAGGCGAACTGCGAGAATGCGGGGCCCGCGGGCCTCCAGGTGCGCTGGCGCTGGACAGGCGGGCCGCCGCGGCGGTCACTCGCCGCCCAGCCTGGCCAGCAGAGGGCGCTGCTGGAGGAGGCGGCGGCCGGCGCGCAGGCCAGGCCGCCGCCGCCCCCCCCCCCGCCGTTCGTGGGCCGCGGGGCAAGGCTTGCCGCAGCGTGGCGCAGCCGAGGCCGCCCGGGCCTTCTCGGGATGTGGGTCCTGGGAGCCGCACCTAGCCTCGCAGGGCCCCAGCTGCGTCGCCTGCCTCCGTAACGACGCGGCGGCCCTGCGGTGGCAGGCTCTGACTGCCCGGCCCTGCCCAGGCTGGGCCATTTCGCTGCCGCCCCGCGCCTCTGCGCTCCTGCTTGCCCCCGCGGAGAGGGCCAAGAGGGCCGAGGCAGATTAGCGCGCCGCGCTGCGCCGGCGGCTCGCGTCGCTGCAGCGACCTGGGATGCTGCCGTTTCACCCTCCATCCCTCCTTCCCTCCCGCCCCTCCCCCCTCTCCCCCCTCCGTGCCACAGAGCCCCCCCCCTCCCTCCCTCCCGCCCCTCCCCCCCTCTCTTCCCCCTCCCTCCCTCCCGCCCCCCCCCTCCTCTTCCCCCATCCCTCCCTCTATCCCCCCCCCCCCTCCTCTTCCCCCTCCGTGCCACAGAGCTCCTTCGGGCTTGCAGCAAGTAAACGAGCGAGCGAGCCGA